ATTTTCTTCATCTAATAATTCAAGATTTCATGCTATTTTCTCAAAACTATCATAAACTTTTTTATTAATAGTTTTTATATATTCATAAGAGGTAGTAGCATCTTCAATTAAATTTAACAAAATTTTTAAATAAAATAGTTTCTTATCTCTTGGACTGCAAGTATACATTCTGGAAATAACTTTTTCGCCACCTTTTATTTCATCATTACCAATTTCTATCTTTTCATATAAAATGTTTTGAAAAATTAACATAGTATAAGTTACTTATAATAGGATCAAATGGATTATTTTTACACATTGAAAATTATTATAATATATTTTTAAACTAGATTAAAATTAATCATTTTAAAAATCATATTTATAAACTTAAAATAATTAAGTTGATAAATTATAAATTTTTTTATATAATATTTTATTGATTTTGTAGGGCAAATTTTCCTGCTAGCTAAAGGATAATACCAGCGATTCGTTAACCATCACGTTATATATAGTATTTTCTAGTCGAACTACAAATAATAAGCAAAAAATTTGTATTTAGATTCATTATGAATTCTTAATATATAATAACAATATGAATTCCTAATACATGAATGTTTCATTCTCAATTATGGGGAACCAATCGTTTTGATTTAAAATAAACGGTAATATAGTCACGAACAAACGCAGTGATACTTGCCAAGCATGAATATTGACAGAAACTGTTTAAATCCCAAAATACATTGTCAAAAAACAGTCGGACAATTGGGGTTGATTGTGATTGTAACACCGAAACTCCTTATGACTATCCAAGTTGAGAATGTCATTTAGATGAATTTTTTTTTTTAAAAAAAACATTCTTTTGTTAATAAGAACTAAAAGGAAGACTTCGAACAAGTTAAATATAGAAGCTGACAATTTGCGCTTGTGTTAGGAAAAAGTATGAGAAGAAAATTGTTATAACTGCGCAAATTATATATATATATAAAATAGTACCGAACCAAAAATCATGAACACAACAACACAAACGACACGACCGTTCTACAAATTACCAAAATCGTCACCTATAGAAGAAAACCCACCAACCAACAACGTGTTTCAAACTTCCCCCACAAATTACATCGAAAACCAAGGACAATTAATACCTAAACGTTCAGCTCCTCCGCCACCGAAAGTAGCGCAAAAAGTCATCCAAATGAGCAGCGCTTCTGAATTGAATGGTACTAGCCCTTCAGGAAAAGATAACCAGCGTCGTGGGCATAAGAAACCAAATAGTCTAGGTCCTCCACCGAAACCTACTCGCTCAAATGAACCATCATATCAAGCGGCACTAGCAAGAAGCCCCTCCGCTGGTAGTGGTCAAAAACAAGGGCTCCCGAGTGAATCTCCCACTTCTCCAAAATACGCGGCAAGTGGATATAGTTCACTTAAGGGAGCCCCTGCCATCAATGTTCATGGTGAGCCAATTCAACAATCCTCGGCCACTGAAAAAGACGGAAGTAAACCGCTCAAGTTTTTCGGTAGTTTAATATCTGGTAAATGTTTCTCGTTTCGACTTCTTTCCTTTCTTATGACCAAAAAAATCGGTTTTATTTTTTAAAAAAAAAAAACTTTACGTTAGCCAAATTTTAGAATATTAAAGTAACACATTTATATAAAATTAAAAAAAAAATTCTATTGAATAGATTTTCTTGGACCGAAAAAAAGAGTGGAGATTTCATCACCATATGATCCGGTTCATTTAACTCATGTCGGATTCAATCAAGAAACTGGAGAATTTACGGTTGATTATTGAACAAATATTAATTCTAATTAAAAGATAAATTTGTTTCTAATATATCTTATGATCATCTAGGGTTTACCAAAAGAATGGCAAACATTATTACAAGAGTCTGGTATTTCAAAACAAGACCAACAAGCGCACCCACAGGTATAATCGCTTAATTTTCAGTAGCCGCAAGATTCTTATATTTCTCATCTGCATACTAATGTGTTTTTTTAATAAATAAATAAATCAATCAATAAATATATAAATATATATAGGCAGTATTGGATATTGTAGCATTTTATCAAGATACAGCAGGTGGCAAAAATCCAAATTTAATTTGGGAAAAATTTAACAACGCAAAAATTGCAAATAAAACATCTCCCTCTGTTAGTCCAAGTTCACCAAAAGCGGTGGATAAAATATTTGAGAATCCCGTTAGTATCAAATATTTCAGATTTTTGATAATTTTGCATAAATTAACTATATGGTGAACAATTATTTGGGCAGGATTTCATATAAGGATGAAATTTATTTATATTTCGTTTTCGAATTAGAGAACAGCACCCGTCCCACCAGACAAGAGGAAGCCATCGCCACCGACTGTCCCCACAAGACCATCAAACCCAACGACGGTAATCTTTTAAAGAAAATGATGTATTAAGGGATTTTTTTTTTTTCGAGTTAACATAATAATTATAATATTATGTAGAATCAGAAAAATTACAAAAGCTCAAAAAACAATTCTATGTCTCCGCCCAAGCCATCGCGTAGTGAGTATTTTATCGTGTAATGTTTTTAAGACGTATATGCATTTATTTTAAAATGTTTACTTTAGACATGACGGAACCTCCAAGACTCCCACCGATAACGCCATTACCTCCCCTTGAAAGTAAGACTTTACCTCATCCTCCACCAAAACCCAAGCCGCCTCGTCATAATCAAAATAATCAAGGAAGTCCAACAAATCCTTCAGCATCAAAAACCCATTCACCATCAGCTAACGTTGGTCAAGGTCCCAAAGTACCACCACAAGGAAGCCAAAGACGCCCTCCTCAACGTAATAAGCAAAATAAGGATTCTGGAAATATCATCGATAGATTGAATGCGATTTGTAGTGAGGGAAACCCAGAACTCTTTTATACTAATTTGGTCAAAATTGGTCAAGGGTATGTACCAATACGTTATATTTGACTTTATTTGTACGTTAAATAACATATGTACTTATTTTAGAGCTTCTGGTGGTGTATACACCGCTTATCAAAAGGGTACTAATTTGTCTGTTGCTATTAAACGAATGAACCTTGAACAACAACCAAAGAAAGATCTCATCATAAATGAAATTTTGGTAATGAGAGAATCTAAACATAAAAATATCGTGAATTTCATTGACAGTTATCTTTATGCCGGAGAACTTTGGGTCATTATGGAATATATGGAAGGTGGTAGTTTGACAGATGTAGTAACAACTAATATCATGTCGGAAGGCCAGATTGCAAGAGTTTGTATAGAGGTAATTCAAACTTGGTTTCCACATATGTATAAAATAATTTTATTTTAAGAAAATGATTAAATGCCTCATAATTCGTTTGTAGACGTTGAAAGGGTTAAACCATTTACACGAAAAAGGTGTCATTCACAGAGACATCAAGAGCGATAATGTTCTATTATCATTGCAAGGAGACATCAAATTAAGTGCGTTCAGAAAAATCTTTTAAACTTCATATCGTTATTTTTGTTACATTTTAATTTACCTTTGATTCATATGTCGTAGCCGATTTCGGTTTCTGCGCGCAAATCAATGAACATAATAACAAACGTACAACAATGGTTGGCACACCATATTGGATGGCCCCAGAGGTTGTAACACGCAAAGAATACGGTCCCAAGGTTGATATATGGTCATTAGGTATTATGGCAATTGAGATGATAGAAGGAGAGCCACCATATTTGAACGAGAATCCTTTAAGGGTTTGTATAATGACTTTTTAGATTTCGCATCATTTCAAAACCTATTTACCAATATAAACTTTTTTATCGTTTTACAGGCTTTATATCTAATTGCAACAAATGGTACACCACAATTACAAAATCCTAATGGTATTTCACAACAATTCAGATTATTTTTAAATGAGTGTTTAGAGGTTGATACAGAAAGGAGACCAACTGCATCCGAACTTTATGATGAAATAGAAGATGGTAATAAGACTATAATTAAATGTCATCGTTTCTTAGAGAAAGCCGATCATCAGAATACACTTGTGCCTCTAATCAAAGCTGCACGAGATAATTCAAGGAAATAAAACTTTTTTTTTTAAAAAAAAATAATAATAATAATAATCTGGGTAAAATATTATTAACCAAAACAACAACAAAAAAAAATATTGGAGTATATAGCTTCAATCAATAATTTGTTTATTTTTGTATTTTTGTTACTGTATTTTATTAGTAGTGTCTATTTTTGAATATCTTTATTTATATATGGACATTTTGTACGATTTATTTATTTTTGTTTATTTTAGTTTCTATTTTCTTAGACTTTTTGAGGAAATAATATTTTATTTTATTTAGGCTCTCAAGGTTGATTTTTTTTTTTTTTTGTTAAACGGCTTTAGTTACACACATCAATGTATATCCATTTCAACCTCCCGTTTATTCATCGCAATTATCAACACCATTGAATCAATTATTTGTTTTTATATATATATATATATTTACAACCAACATCATAGATTTCTTATTTTATGCTTTGCGTATGTTTTTCGCTTGTCTATCTTGTAGATTAATCTTATATATTTGTTTGTTTGTTCATTCAACTTCCGTCTAAAAAAATATCTGAGCAAAAAGTCAACTAGGAATGTTAATTTTTGTAATATTAATTAATTTAATTTGAAGTATTTGTTAATTAATTTAGGTACTGTACAAGCCTAACCATAGTTATTTATTGTGTAATGATAAATAAATAACAAAGAAATCCTTCATATTTAGGAAACGTAAGTTGTACGAAGAAGATTGCATGTGATTAATTAACAGTTTCTCGATTATTTTAATTAGCAATTTATTTATTGCGTAAATTAGGAAAACTAAATCCACGAAAACGGATTCTAGTTCAACAATTAGCACGTGTATACATAACTGCGGTTAAGTCAGTCACGCGACCTAATACCATTAAAACAGATGCGAATTAAAAATTTTTTTCTGTAAAATATTTTTGCGGTTGCGTTGACTTTTTGATTTAGATCTAAGGCTGCTTATCGCGATGAAACACACTAATTACTATGATGTTCTCGGTGTTGAAACGAACGCTTCTGAAAGTGAAATCAAAAAGGTAATTCTCCAGGCTTTTATATATTTGTAATGTCATTTAATTAATTCTATTTTTTCCTTATGTAGGCTTACCGCAAGTTAGTAAGTTTAAAAAAGCTCTAGCCGATTCGTTGTAATTCATTTAAGGATTAAAACTTTTCAAAGAATATTATTCCCGGTTTTATAAAAATGCAAACTATTTAACTCATTTTTTATCAATGAGAATTACATTGTTTGGAAACACGTGTATTTTCCCTCAAAATCGATCATATCATAAGATGAAAGGGTTATTTTACTTAAATCTTTATTCAATGTCTTTATAGGCAATGAAATATCATCCCGATAAAAATCCGGATGAGAAGGCTTCTGAAAAATTTAAAGAAATTAGTCATGCATATGATGTTTTGGGTGATCAAGAGAAACGGTAAAACAAAATTAATTGAAGCTTTATACAATTCATTTTCAAAACGCGTAAAAATTGATTTAAAAGTTTGATCTAGTGAATTATATGATCAATATGGTGAAGAGGGAATATCTGGTGGAGGCGGTTCTAATATGTCACCTGAAGAATTATTTGCAAGTTTTTTCAGTTTTGGCGGAATGGGAGGTTGGTTCAAAGTTGCTTTTTTTAAATTGTTATATGGTCATGAAAAACTTATATGGATGAATTTTATTTAGGTGGTGGACCTTCAAGACAAAGGCGTGGAGAAGATTTGGTTAAACCTTTCAACGTCACTTTGGAAGATCTTTATAATGGAAAAACTACAAAAGTTTCTTTGCAGAGAGACGTTGTTTGCCCATCATGTCACGGGTATATAACAGTTTAACTAGTCGTTGGAAATGTTACAATAAATTCTGATCTAATGCCGGATGAATATTTTTTATACATTTATTAGTAAAGGTAGTAAGAGTGGTGCCACAAGAAAATGTCCTAGTTGTGAAGGACGCGGAATTAAGGTCGCCATGAGACAAATCGGTCCTGGCATGATTCAAAGGATCAACACATCTTGTCCAAACTGTACGTATTTAACTATGTATTTTTTGATGTGTGCGCGTGTTTTCTTTTTCCATTATTTATAATTACTCTTTTTTTAAAAGGCGATGGTGAAGGAGAAGTAATTAGGGAAAAAGATAGGTGCAAAAAATGTAAAGGTATTAAGACCATAGAAGAAAAAAAAATATTGGACATTTTTATTGAGAAAGGTATGCAAAACAATCAAAAAATCATTATGCAAGGTGAAGCTGATCAAGAGGTATTATACGAACTCATAGTTAATTGATGTCTATTGTTTGCATGAGATAACTTGTTAACAAATAATTATCTATATAAATATATTTTTTTTTCTTATGATGATAGCCCGGTGTTGAGACTGGAGATGTAATTCTTGTCCTCAAACTAGCACAACATGAAAGATTTGAACGACAGGGTAATGATTTACTAACGGAAGTTAATATCTCAATTACCGAGGCACTTTGTGGGTTTTCAAAGGTTCTTGTTAAACACTTGGATGGACGTGGGTTGGTTATAAATCATCCTGCCGGTGAAGTGATAAAACCTGGTGCTATAAAATGCATAGTTGGTGAAGGCATGCCACAATATAAACGACCGTTCGACAAAGGTAATTTGTATGTTAAGTTCACCATAGAATTCCCAACCGACATGTGGATATCTCCGGATAAAATCAAGGTACCAGTTAGTTTCATAAATGTAATTTATTTTATTTTTTTATTAGTTTTTTTCATTATATATATGTTCATTTATATGCATTATAATTAGCAATTAGAAACGCTTTTACCAAGCAGGAAAGTTGAAGAACTTTCCCGTCCAGATGTCATAGATGAAGTACATTTGACCGAAGGAGACTTTAGCGAGGTAAAATAGTTGTGTGTATATTCTTATCGTTATTATTATGATTTATCAATTAACTAATTCGGTTTGTTTTAATATAGTATGGTAACAAGAAAGCAAAAGGTGGAAATGTATGGGACGAAGATGAAGACGAAGACGACGATGAAGGAGAACATCATGTGGGATGCAGTCAACAATAAATGTATTAATTTTGAAGTTTTATTACATGGATTATAGGATTTACTTTTATTGTGGATTTTTATAACATTGGAGGAAAATGAGCCCATATTCGTATTCTCCATCAATTAATTAAACAGTGAAAATTTTTCTATTTTATTTGTTTATACACACCATTTTTTTTTTACTCTCTTTCCTATGATTGCATTTAGGACTTTAATGGCATTTAAATTTAATATTTTCATTATCATTATGTAGAGGGTTAAATGAATTATTTGTATCACGCTTTTATTAGAGAATTTTTTTTTGTCAAGGGATTCTTTGATTTAATAAGGACAAATTGTTTGAAATTTTGATCTTGGGATAATAATTAATTTTTTTCTTTTTTCGACTTGAATATATATTTTTTTTGTTATAAATAGATAAAATAAAAAGCTATAATATTTTGTATTTAAAATAAAAAAAAATAAAATACAAATCTTTGTAATTATACGTTTAGTAATCTATGGATTTTCTATGTAAAATATTTCTTTAATGGATTGTTATTGATAATTCGTTAGTCACAGAAGCACATCACATGACAATTTGTAATGGGGTTTATTGAAACGTGGCGCAGCATATACTAATTTTCATGACTTTGCACCTGTACAGTACAAGTACTATACAAAAATAGGTGTTGAAAACGGTTTGAATATTCCAGTGTCATTCTCATAAAAAAAACACTCAAAATGGAGAAATTCTGCGCTGAAATTATACGCAGGGCTACACATCAAACGCTTGCATCTGCAGGCTTCGAAAAGAGTTCAAGAATCAGCGGAGATGTGCTTGCAGATGTCTTGAAAGAATATTTAATGTTTTTAGGAAAATCTGCTCAAGAAGCCGCAACGAATGCTGGTAGGACTAAAGTTAATACCGCCGACGTCTTGGTAGCCTTTGAAGACCTTGGTATAAACTTGGAAGAGTTAAGGGAATGGTCAAAAACCGAAGGGAAAGTTCTTGGAGGTTACGCTGGACGAAAGCCAACTCTCTTGAAAGGTATCACACGTATATTTAATTTAAAGATTTGATCGATTTGATTTGATTTGATTTTTTTTTTTTTAAAAAAAAGAAATATTTCGTACATCATTTTACTCAATTATTAATAGACTTGTTAAGAAGTGGACTTTCAAGTGAGACAGAAGAAATTGATTTACCAGTTGAAACGAAAGAAAAGGATAAAATTGAAAGTAACGGTCAAAGTTCAAGAAAAACGGAACATTTAGGTCAAAAGATTCACACAAAGGAACTGACACCAAAAAAATTAGTGAGTAGTGAAATTAAGAACAATATAAAAGAATTAAAAGAAGTGGAAGATGATATGATTATAGATATTGAAGGGATAAGTGAAATAAATACACCGTTACAGAATAATTCTGAAAATAAAGATAGTAAAGATGATGAAAATATGTCCATGTCTATGGAAGATAATGAATTACCAGCTCTTTCTTCTGATCAGACGACACCAATTGACGATGGAAAAGTTTCCAATACAAACGGTGAAATTACAAAAGAACATATAGAAGAATTAAATCATAATGAAGGATTATCAATTACAAAAAAGAGACCTTCTTATATTCCTGATTGGCTTCCACCATTTCCTGAAATTAAACCAAATGAAGAAGAACCTGTTAAAGAGGATCAAAAGGTTGAAATCCAAGAAAAAACAATAGAATCTGGTGGATTGACAGAATCAACGATTTCAATAGAAGGAGGAACACCAAAACCTATCGATTATACGATAAACAGTCAAGAAAGCATACCGGAAATTCAAAGATCAAATAGTAAATCTGCAGATTCAAATGTTAAAAATAGGCCCTCTAAACAAAAACTCAAACGTCCACTCGCATATGTTTTATTAGACGAATTATTTGAGAAGGCACTTACAAGCGAGCCTATATCTGGAGAGTCGTTTGATGCTTCAAGGAAAAAGCGTAAAATTGTAGAATTCGATAGTTTGCTTTCGTTTGAAGATTCATTGTTTAGCGAACCTGAAATTCCCGTGATGGATGAAAAAGATGCAAAAGATTTAATGGAATCTTATGGTTATCCGTTGCGACTAAATGAATCACCAATACGGCAAAAGCGTGTTGAAATAACATCAAAAGGTAACATTGATGGTAATATAAAAGCACCTGCACAGATTAATGATACCACATTATCAGAAGTGAAACTTTCTAAACCTTTACAAACAAAATCTTCAGTATCGCGTAAAGGAAAGGAAAGAATGATCCCGGAGATTATTGATTTCCGAGAGCCCGAGTTGCCCGTTGTTCCTTTAGAATCTTCAAAAGCATCTAAGAAGAAAGAGCTAAAGAACAGTAAAGCTAAAAAATCAAATCTTAAAGTTTCAACAACGAAAGTTGATAGTCCCGAAAAATTATCGGAGTTTAATCGACCAAAACTGAAATTACGTATAAAATCGACATCTACACCACCCTCTGAATCACAACCTGAAGTAGTAGATATCATTAATTGTATTTGTACTCCTCCAAATAATACATTAGACGATGGGAATTTTATGGTATCTTGTGATAGTTGTCAAGTATGGTTTCATGGAATTTGCACTGGCTTTGGGCCTCATTCTGTTGAAGTTGGTACCTGGTACTGTAAAAGATGTCGTGATCGTGGTATATTATGAACGAACTCTTTTTTTTTTTTTTAATATATAAAAACAAAAAAATTCCTTGTATTTTTGAAAATTTTTTTTTCATTTATAGTTGCTATTATCTCAATTATATAATAATTTTTTTTTCTTTTTCCTGTGTATCTTATTAATTAACAGAGTAAAAGCTGAGCAATACTTTTAGGAATTGCGAGGAAGTTTTTGATTTATATATCTATTATCGTGTTTTGAGGATTCTTTTTAACCATTTGCAGATTTAATATTGAATTCCAGGTTGAATCCGTGAATAGGACACTTTTATTGTTGATGCTGTTGATGCTGTATAGATATCAATCCTTTGGATATTTTTGGATAAAATATTCAAAAGAAAAATCTCTTTTATAACTTAATTTTCGTGCAAATTACGCGTCCAACTTACAAAACATATTAAAACATTTATAAAAACTTTAAAAAATAAATGCTTTAAGAACAAATTAAGCATCAATTTTATATGGCATTAAGTAATATGTATAATGTCTATTAAAATGTGATAAATCTTTTCGGACTTAACGTCATTAAAATCTTATAATGCAATGTGTCTAATACTTGAATATTAACAGGAAAACTCTTCCGAATTTTATATTATAAAATAAAAGAAATTTTTCTTCAATGAATTTTAAATCAATTCTCAATTCTAGATGTAAAAAAAAATTTTCTCAAAAAATTAAAAACAATATTATAAACTAATTTATTATGAGACCAATTTTATAAATTTTAAAAATCACATGTATACTAGAGTCCATGGATAGATAATATATTAGTTAGATTATATGACGCAATCAACTTTAACTGTGATCCAACAATATTAATAGCGGTAACTTTGATTTTTTCAAAAATTGGTTTTACTAAATTTCAGTATTTCAGGTATATTAGTCAATACACTTGCATGAAAAGAAAATATTCAGACTCAAAGGCATTATAAGAAACCAAGCAAGAGCCCAATTAACAATCTACAATTGAAAGTAAATGTTATTATAGATGAAAATATTATATAAATATTTATTAATTATACATGTAGTTGTTTTTTTAAACTAAAATGAAATTGTCTTTTAATTGTAATTATTAGAAGGATTTGTTTTTTATTTGAAAATTATGTGAATTGATAATGTTTTTATAATGTTTCAATACAGGAATTATTTACCTTATTTTAATATCAATAAGAGAAATATAAATATTTATAAAACAAAAACATTATTTAATATTTAAGTATATTTGCATAAATAAGAATTTACTTTATAGTAATAATTAGTAAAAAAAAATTGATCAATACTGTAAATAATCAGATTTATTTTTCTTCTAAAAAGTTTTATATAATAGTATATCTTCTTTCTGCTTTTTTTTTTTAACATTTATTGTTTTTCTTATTTCTTGGTAAATTTCATAAGTAAATCTTTTTTTCTTAAATAAGTTTTTAATGTTTAAATATCATTTATTTTGAAAATATAAGAAGCAATTTTCTCATTTTATTCTTTTTAAAATACTTCTAATTAATGATACTATTTGAAACCTATTTGAATATATAGCTTAAAAATTTAAAAACTTTTTCAAAACCTTTAAATAAATTTTTTTTAAAATCTGAATTAATTAAACTTAATTGAGTTTAGAAAACATATTAGAAGTTTAGGTAAAGATATTTATTAAAAATAAATAGTTTAATCTCAAATATCTTGAAACTTAAATTTCCTAAAAGTAGTTTAGAAAGATATTTTTACTTCTAATAATATTATAATTCTTAGTTTCATAATAGATGTAATATAAATAAGTTATATATTAACTATTTTTGTCTAATTAAATATTATAATCACATTACATTAGTAATACAATTATGATATTAAGATACAATATTAGTTTTGAAATTCTTAATAATATTAATATATAGGCCTATAATAAATTATCAGATTTTTATCATGTGAATTTATACTTTGTATTATGATTGGTAATTACTTATTATCATATATATAAATAAAGAAATAACAAAATATTTTGCTTGTATTTTTCTTCTAGTTTAAAATATATAAAAATAAATGTATTATTGATATATATCTTAGTAGTATCAAGTAAAGATTTATTTCTACTCAACTTGGCATTTTCACTAATACTGTTAATGATACTATAAAAATATATAAAGAAACAGGTTTTACATAATCTATGAAATGTATTTAATAAATAAAATTACTTAGTAAATAAAGATACATAAACTTTAAAATAAATTATCCAAACTGACTGATTTTCTCCTTTAGATGATATAATAAATAAGTTAAATACTAGTCTTAACACAATATTAAACTATAACATAGTTAGAAGTTATCTTTATATAAAAGGTCTTAGGAATTATATTGTATAAAAAAATCTTATTTAAATACTAAATATCAAAATGATTACTTGAAATAATGCAGAGGAAAATGAAACTGAATAGAAAAATATAAATAAGTTGTATAGTTAGATGAGTTTAGATTTCCACTTTTTCAATTAAATAATCAAGCAAATATAAAAAAAAAGTCCTAAAGAAATATATAATAAAGATTATTTTCAACCTATAGTTAAGTTTAATGAAGTATCAGTGATGTTTTGAAGGTGCTTTGGTTAGTATAAGGTTAAATCTTTGATTATAATAAAAAGAAATAGAGATTCTAATAATTACATCAATATACAGGTTAATTATTTTATCTTATGAGTTGACAATTATTTCAACTCTATTTTTTAGCAAAATAGAGCATCATGTCATACTTCAAATTATAGTATTTGATAGATGAGAACTATACATGAAGTCGAAATGAAAACCCAAAAGTCGAAATGTTTCGACTTTGGAGGTCAAAGTCAAAATGAAAAGT